TTACGATGTGATTGTTAGGCGAATCAAGCAGGTGAGGGCTACAGAGGACAGGAAGAAGCACCTTACTGACGTGTCCTGTGCTTTTATACTTTCGGTCATTGATGCTCGTTATAGATGTGACTACACAAAGTGATATCAAGATATCTATGACAAGTCCTGGGGGAGATAGATAAACTATCGCAAGATCATGACTTTGCCGCGTTCACGAGACTCCGACGTATAACCTATGGAGTATGGAGAGCCGAGTGATCCTCAATGTATAGATAGATTGAAAACGCAGCACGATCGATCCTGCTTCTTTATGGCATTGTCCTCTCATCCTGCTTTTGCATCACTGCATCTTTTTTGTGGTTTCCATTCATGCTGGCTATATATAACAGCTGCTTGGAGACCAATCCATCACCAACCAGACACTGGGCTCCTAGACTCATGTGCGACACCCTCGCCCTCCGCCAACCCTTCTGCCACAGCTCCTCGTCGTCAAGACCTCCATTCACCCAGAATTCATGGTCTCGTCAACACCTGCTTCTTCCTCGCCATTATTGTGCACTATGTCCTGGTTCCACACCAGAGAAAATCTCATCCTGTTTTTGAAACCATTGTTGGCGGCGTCGTACCCGCCGCCGGGTGACGGGCACAGGCGGCGGGAAGCCAAGAGACACGGAGAAGTTTCATCTGTGGAAGAACCGGTTCGGCGGAGTAGTCGGAGGTGGCTGGGTGTCGGCACTGCTGCATCAGGCATCTACAGGCCACTGGAGCAACTGAGAGTTGCTCTCTCGTGTGAGTCCAATTCCTCTCTCTATCGCTTCTCTCTAATCACATTTGACTTGCGCTGGCGTGGCAGTAGCTGATGGCTCATCCCAATCTGCAATTACACGCACTTGCCACTTGTTCTGTGCCTCTTTCAACTGTGATATGTGACTCGTTCCCGCTGACAAGTATCCCAGGTGTCTGCAACATCGCATCACCACCACTACTCCCTACACCTATCATACGCCGTTCAACGATTTCACATCTCCGCAGAATACGCCAGCGAGATGTCTTATCGGCCTTGACCTTGGTACCACCACCAACTTCATCTCTTCCCCCCCCCGCGGCAAACGGGTGGCACCAGCAATGACCCTCAATAATGCCGGACTTGTTAGAGCTAAAGAGTCTGTCGAGCGGGGAAGCCAAGCGTTTCTCCTAAGCCATCATGACATCAGTCATTGGCTTGTTCTTAGAGGCCGGGTCATCTTCGCCCCAGCCCATTGCGAGGGAATGGCCCTGGGTTCAGAGTGAGCCGTGGTTTTCCTACCATCCAAAAGGCGCGAGCTCGGAGCGGTGCCGGACCTCGGGTCCGTGACAGAAGGTGGAGCTTCGTGAGTTGAATTGGGAGATCGTCCAGACAGTTCGATGGTCACATTTGTACCAACGTTTTGAGTATGCTGACAGGCAGTAGCTCAGAATGTCACTGGCAATGTGGGGCCGCTTCAACTTCACCAATCAATCTTGCTCTCAAGAACCTCTTTTCTACCACAACACCATCACATCAGGCGCGGTCCCTCTTCACCATCGATCTCTTCTTTCCCTGGCTATGTATTCGACAAATGCGGCACTCTAAGGAAGGTCATGAAGGCGCTATCGATTGCGATGTGTGCTTCAAGGGGGTGAAAGGGGCTCGAAGGAAAAGACTAGAGAAGTACTGGAGGAGACGCTCGACACTTTGCCCAGGGGATCGACACCACCGGGGTGTGGGGCGGCGATAAGCCAGCCGTAGGGCTGCCGAGAACAGTTCACGCGTACGGACAGCGCAGGTCAGCTGGGAAGGAAGAGCAGGGTTGGGGATCTTTAAAAAAGTGCGCAAGACCGTCCGGGAAACGTGAAAAGTCAGGTGAGTGGTGGACGGTCAGTTCCCGATGGTACGGAAGGGGCTCTTTGTACAGCGAGATGTCAAATGTAAGATGCCAACGACGGAGGTCGCAAAGAGACCAAGTATAGGGTGTCGATCTTAGCAACCACTGACCAAACAAGTCATGCCTCCAAGCCAGAGGACGTTGTGTATCGCGCAGGCATGCAATGTGTACTTTTGAAAGCAATGTCGAGAAGTTGAGGAGTCTCAAAGCCCCATCAACGGTTCTCCAAGTTGCAAAAGGTAGTAGCAAGACGGTTTGAATGACAGAGGGAAGCGACAAAGGGCTTGTGCAAATCAAGTTCATCGTTACTCATCACGCTTTACTACATTGAATCACATGCACTCTTCTTGTTTGCTGCTGAAACTTCTCGAGATGAGATCGGCCGAGCAATGTAGCGTACTTGCGTTCATGGAGAGGTGGCATTGCAGCGGTGGGTCTTTGACATTGCGTAGTGGTTTTTGATCGGCCAGGGGCTCTGCAGATGCCAGGCGGGAATGCATTTCATACATGCGAGGTCGGGATCAGAGCGGCGGGGAGATCAAGAAAGTTAGATCATCGCAGAAGATGGAACAGATATATCACGATAGGCTATAAGCCGTCGCTACGCGCCATGATGATGGTGATGAATTCTTCAACGTTTCTCCGTGGAGTGTCAAGCGAGGGGAGTGATAAGCAGCAGTAGGCCGGTAAGGTAAGACCCGGGGCCCATTAGGGTCGGTGATCTTAAATTCCAACAAGCTTTCTCACTCCTCGGCAGTCGGCACCAATCGCCCTCGTCGGCTGCCGTCGTCGTTCAACTTCATTCTTGACAGGGTCCTCTTGGGCCTCTTAGCTTGGGTCTTCTGCCTCATGTATCTTACATCGACTACCTCCTATGTTTAAAACCTTTTAAGCCCCCCGGATCCTCCAGAGACGCTGCTCACAGTTATGCTCCGCCTCAGTGGCCAGCGGGGCCAGCGGCGGCCCCAGCGACCCCTCGATTCTGAAAAATTGAGACCTCCCAAAAGATCAGGGAACTCGACTATTCGAGCGAGTTGCGTCAAAACACCGACGCCCAAACGAGAATCAAGATCAACCCGCCGGCGGGACCCCGAGCTATCGAACGAGAAAGAGAGAGAGAGAGAAACAGAGTTGATAAAGCCACGCGCCACAACTATCTGCGCTCAGTGCATTCCATCGCTTGTCGCTTGCTGCTGGTGTGATGTCGGAAAAGCGCTTGAATCTAGATCCTTAATCAAGTCGTCAAGCTCCCCATGGCTCAAAGTATACGCCGGGCTTTGACGACATGAACACCATGCGCTGCCTATCAATTCGGCTCGGTCCGGGTAAATGCATAAAGTTCACATGTTTTCCAAAATGTCCAAACCCCTAACCCGTATAAAATCTTGCTTTCTTCCTCCTCCCGCTTTTTCTGCTGATCCTACTGATCTGCTGTACGCGACCCACGTCCAAACGGCGGCCGGAGGCGCGATTGCCTATGTATCTGGCCTCTTTGCGAAGTTTGTTTGTCTCCGCATTTGTGCCGCGCATCGACTGCACATGAACATGTCGTTCTCTCGGGTCATAGACTCATAGTCGAGAGAACTCGAGGCTGCAAGAGGAAAAGTTGCTGAAGGTCTTCATGGAAAAAGGGAGTCGACTTTTGAGACATAATTAATGATATCTTGTACCTGCACCCCCACATGTCATCATTTGCTAAAGGTAACGTAAAAAGAGCTTCTTCCCCGCCGGCAACTGCAAAATCTGACACGAAAGGCCCTTTTCGAGCCTCGGATGTTTTGGACAGCCCTGTACCTTTGGAACAATGCAATTATGCAAAGGTGGAGATAAACAGGTTCTCGAGCTTGGAGGAGCTTGGGGCTATAAGGCCCTTAGGGATTGATGGGATAGACAAAAACCACCGGCAGCAAAAAGGCGAGGGGCAGGGTTGCTACGACCTGGCTAATGAAAGAGGCGAGAGAGCAGACTTCGAACTATTTGATCTGTGAGATCTATTATATGGAATCATATGCTCTGTGGTCTGAGGACTGACGCCTGAGCCTTCTATTGATTGCTTGCCGCTCATCATGTAGACACAGTACTAGCACATCATGGACAGCGACAAGAATGATCATTGAGTCTTTCTACTCTAAAAACCGTGAAGAGCTGAAGACTGGAACGCTGGAAGCTGTAAGTTCGATATGGGATCTGCGGCCTGCGGGCATCTGCGATTTGCGGCAAGTAGGCGATAATAAAGCAGTCCAGATATCTTTCTTCCTCTTGGACAAGGCGATCTGAAGGTCTGAAGTACTGACAGTGGAACGACGGAACGATGACCTTGCTCGGAGGTTCCAGGTAATTAGTACCAGACCCCCAGGCGCGCCAGGCAACAGGCGACAGGCGAGGAGGCTGCCGAGTACAGTCAGGGTCGGCAAGAAAGAAAGCGAGGGTGGCAGCAAGCCTTGCAGAATGGTGGCTGGAGATTGCTCCTCTACCACTGAGCCACTGTACACCATTGTGGCACAATTTGTGGGGTACTGGGTGGCATGCCGCGGCAAAAGAGAAAAATATCGCAGGAAAGGAGAAGAGCGCAGCAATGTTTTTAAGGCCGCACTAAAACACGGTTTACAAGGTACGAGAACCGAAAGAGGGGTAAGAGCGGGGACATCACTTTCGTTATTTCGTAATAGCTGTTCTAGCAATAACTAATGACCTGAGTAATGAGGGGCAATTGAGGAACAAATGATCCAGGATCTGGGGCGAGATCAGAAGGTCGCCGAGGCCTCCGACGGAGAAGAGCGATTACAGAGTGGTGGCATTGCTGGTTTTCTGCTGAGGATCGACGCAACCCATTCGATGGCCCCGTCCGATCGTCGTCGGCTTGCATGGCCACGGGGCGAGTAGCACGAGGATAATGCATGCATATCGCCAACGTACAGCATCGTGCCGGGTGCATGAGCACCTGCAAGCTGAGCGAGAACCCGGCAAGTATGAGGCGGTAGGCGTGCTCGACGGCTGGCCGATTTTAATAAACGTTATGCACCCTCGTGGTTTAGTGTTATTTGCCATAAGCAGGCAAACCCAGTTCCGTGTCCGCATTGTTCTTTCGGCAATGGAATACACTTTATTTCTTTCTCTCTTCCTCTTCGTCTGGCCAAGTTTGGTGACCTGAACCCCCCGCCCGTCCTGCTGTTTACGCACTCTACGACGCACACCATTCGCAACGCCTCAGCGCTTAAAAACGGGTCGACTGAAACACGAAATCTCAACTTGAATACGCAACAACGACCACTTCCCGCATTGGGTAAATCTTTCCTCGCCAGACTTCGTTGCCTGAGCATACGCATACGCCATAAGCCGCTGCTGTTCGTCCAGAGCCAAGACTTCAAACCGCTGGAAAATCATTACATACTGCTTTGAGAGGTACGGTGCTCGGAATGAGCGCAGAGTGAGGCAAGTGTTGACGTTCTTTATCTCGCGTCGTTCGCTTCAACGTACTCTCCGATTCCCAACTCCCTCCCACCGCCTACTCCTCCAGATCGAACTTCTTCTCGCTGGCTGCTGCCCAGAGTCGACGATCTCCTTGCTGCGCTCCAAAGAGGGCGTACAGGTATCATCCAACTGCGACCCCGGCCCGTCTCTGGCGCTCGTTGCGTCGCGTATCCCCCAGCCCCCAGGTAAGCTTTTGGAGTGGTGTGGCGGTGGACGTTGCCTGATAGGGTGTGACTGTTAGCCCACTGCCGGGAGCCGGGCTGCCCCGAAGAGCAGGCGCGAGCTGGAATCAACGAGAGAGTGGAGGACCCGCGAGAGTACGACTTGTGGATAAGCAACATCATTCGCGTCAGTTTACGTGACTGTTTGTACCGCGGTGTCAACAGCGTGGAGGCCAATCGCAGCGCACGGGGAAAGGAGGCGCAGGAGGATAGGTGGTAGGTGGCCCACGGGGACAGATCGGCAGGTGGCAGGTGGCAGGTGGACGCCGTGTGTGTGTGTGGAGGACCGTGCAGTGGCTGACTGGCTCAGTGCTTGCCAAACACGGGCTGGCTGATCGACAGCGTTCCTTGGCGAATTCTCCGCGGATCGTCACCCCCCGTAACTGGCTCTCGGACGGCGACACCATCAATCACGGGCACACCCCTCGACCCTCTTCCCAGCCCTCCACTTTCCTCCTTTCTCCTCCATCTCCATAGTCTTCTGCCTGCCATAAAGGAGACGCTCGCCAGGGCCCCAGAGTAGCAAGGACCCCTTTGCCGTGGGTGATGTCTCGCTGAGCACAATGGTACAGATCGACAGCTGATCCACATCTCAGCTGCCATACAATCCCCTCTATTTCCGTCAGATCTCGCCCCCAGCGACACGTTGTATACACGAGTCGGTCCGGTCGCTGCTCTTCGCCACGCACAGTCAACACCCTTGCCTATCTTCTAGCCGCGTACCCTGTTCCCGCCGTGCCAGCCCCCGTGGACACTGTGAGCCACACACTGCCCGTCGTCGAGAGTTCGGCTTACCAGTCGTGCTGACAGCCGACAGCGTGTTCTAGTTCCGACCCGAACCCTGATACACACTCTGCACCATCAGCGAGGCGTGGTCTTTCGTTCTGCCAGTGCCCTGCGCCCGCTACGCACCCCAATCGTCAGACACGGCCTCACAGAGAACAACAGGCACACGACTCCTCCTTGAACCTGCAGCGCTTGAGTTTTTTCTGTTCCAGCCCTCTGTCTCTTGTATACACGAGTTTCGCATCTGGCGAGAGGACGTATCGGCGTCAAGCACCCCTCTCACGCTTTCCGGCCAGCTCTGGCGTGTCTGATGACATTCTGCCGAGCGCATGGACAGTTAAAGTCGGCCATCTCTTGACTCTGCCTTTTGTTTCTCTTTGAAACCTACTCATCTTCTACTCGCCACTTCTGGCACGACACTGCGCCTTTTCGACTCTGCTTAAGCAGAACATGGCTGCATCAATATCGCTACCAAGAATGCCATTCTCAAATTCAGACCCCTATCATGCCCGTGGCTATCCTCCACGTATGCATTCGCCGTCTTCATCCTCTATGGGCCGAGCCTCTTCCCCTCACTCTTCTTCTCATCGCCCACATCCGTATCGCCGATCTCCCAATCCGCACTCTACCACTGCGACCCCCCAACCAGAACAACAACACCTGCGTATGACGCTTCCCCCGCTTCCCCCGCCAAACCTCCTCGGCGGCGGCGCGTTCAAGTTCTCCTCCACCTACGACGTCCCCTCTCCACGCGAGCGGGACTATCCTCCCCTCACGCACGACCAATCCTGGCGGTCGCCAGTGACGACGGCAGGACGTCCCGCATCGAGTGGGAGTGTAGGTGATCGTTCGCGCACACCTAGTCAGCGACTAGCAGGTGAAGGGCGGGCTCCACTACATTTACCGCCACTGCATTCGATATCGGGTGGTACGAGTCGTTCAGGGGAAACATCACCGAACTCTGCGGCGCCTACAATGTATCTTCCCCCGCGGGAAGCTGCATCATCATCATCCACCCGCATCAGCCCCCGATCGCGCCCACAGCCGCCGCCACCTTCTTATGGCGATTACGAACCGGCATATCCTCCCCGCCCACAGCATGCGCACGCGCACGAACTACATCATCGGCATGACCCCGGGTCGATCTATCGCGCCGAAGAACGGTATCGCGATGAAATGTATGAGCGCGGTAACCCGCCTGCTTTCCCTCAACATCCTCACGCGAGTCGAACGCACATGTATGACCCCCCGTCGCCTCTCCGCCAAGTCCACCACGCGCTACCGGGGATGACACAAGTGCAGTTCCCACTCCCGGGATATTATGGCGGACCGCCGCCAGATGCGGCTATGAGCATGAGCATGGGGAGACAGAGAAGTCATTCATCCGCACCGGGCTTCTCGAGGCCGACGACAGGGGATGAAGAAGGGGGCAGGGAGAATGCAGCAGGACAGAGCAGGCGTGTGGCGCATCTCATGTCTGAACAAAAACGGAGAGAGTGCGTTTTTTTCTCCTTCTCATGGTACAAATTGGCTGACGTTTCCTTCTCATACGTACAGATCGATCAACTCTGGTTTCCAGGCGCTGCGGACGACAGTGCCGACGACGAGCGCTACAGATTCCAAAGCTATCATCCTTAAAAAAGCTGTAGCCCACATCAACCACCTGGAAGGGCTGCTCAAGCGACACAATATCGAATTTACGCCCGGCGAGGCGTGTGAGGATGCTGAGGGCAAAAAAGATCAGTGAGGGGAGATCTGGGAAACGAGGTAAGGCGAGAGGTGACTGGAAGATCTGTGTCTAATCAGAAGATGAAGAAGAAGACAGGAGATTGCAATGTGGGAAAAGACAGGCAGCAGGGCAGGAAAGGGGGCGTGCTACAACAATCTCAAAATCGTGGCGGTTGATCTCTTGGTGCACAAATTTACATTGATCTTTTGGACAATTGCTTCTCTTTCCTCCATACGTGTAAATCGGTATCATAGCATATAGACAGGGTCCAGTGTATTTGTGGACATTCAAAGTATATCTGTAGATTCTACATGCAAGATGGTCATGTTTATTATTATTTTTCGCGGCCATTCATGCTAGTGCGGCTGATCAGCTCCTCCAAGCAAGCTGCTCTTCACTCTGCCTCCCCTCACGCTCTTCCGACAACAGCCTCACCCCCTCTCTCGCTACTGTGCCCCCCTCCCCATCAAGATCGAAGTCCTCAAAAGCATCGGGATCGGCGCGAGGCGCCAAAGGAAGGTGGCACTGACGGTGCGTGAGACGGGGGTAGTAGGTGCGGTAAGAGACCCAGGCGACAAACAGGCCAAGGAGGGAGCCGATGAGGACGTCTTGCCAGTGGTCTGTTTGGTTTTTCGTTAGATTGCTCGGCAAGAACGGGAGAGGGACGTACGTCTGTTGTCGGCTGTACGGCTGATGGCGACCATGGCACCGCCGAGGAGTGGGGACAGGGCTGCCCAAGCTCTCGTCTGGATATTGTGAGTGATGGTCGTGGGTAAGGAGGAAGACTTACTCGGTGGCCCCTGATATCCCACAAGTGCATCTTGCCAGCCAGGTACAGACTCAAGAATCCGAGACCGGCAAATGACACTATGGGCTGTCAGTGTTACTCCTGGTACGATGGCCATATGCTTACATGAACTGTGCCCGCTGGGGAAGCTCTGTACACACATCAGCCTACCGTCGTAAATCACCCGTGAGCGAACGCACCTTGAAACCATCATTCAGGATGAAAAGATCAGTATTGGTGCAGATGTCTACAGTCGAGAGACCAAAGACAGGGCTGTCGGTAGCCCCGGCAATAGGGAGACATCGGGCGATGAGGTCGGGGCGAGGGCGACCGACCGACATCTTGATAATCTGAGTTACAACACCAGCCATCGTATAGGACATCAAGACACCTGATGCCAGTCAGCAAGACTTTGATCTGCGAGGCGTTGGTGCTCACCGACAACAGCATTATGCGTGTCCCACGCATTACGTGCGATAAAGACACTGATGGGGACCAAGACAATAAGGGGTATGCCGATGGAGACAAAGGCGAGCAGACTTGACATATGAGCACACATGCGGGCATAGGTAAAGAAACACTCACTGAGGCGGTACCCGCTCATGCTCGGCAAACGAATGCTGTATACTAATATCGTTGAGAGAAAACTCTCTCTTGTGTCCGCCAGATCTATTCAGAACGACCAATAGGCCCCTGCGTAATCATCGCCCAATCAGCCTCCTTGTGATACAGTACTCGTAGATCCGCAGCCGATGAAACCCACCACAGAGCAAAGATAAATATCCAATCGATAGCATAGCTCGCGAAGACGGTCTTGTAGGTCGCCTTAACGGTAGCAGCCACCCTCTCTTCCTCCTCGTCTCTAACCTTGCCCCTGCCTTTGGGGATGGTGCTGTCGTTGCGGGTGTAGAGAGGGAGGTCGGGGTTGGCCGCTGAGCCGATGGGAGCTGCTGGGAAGCAGAAGCGGACTGCCTCTGGGATGATGGACATGTCGATGAAATTGTATCCCGGATCAACATAAAAGCATGCATGCACCCATCTACAATCACATCTCGGCGATGACGACGAGTGGAGGTCACCGACGGCGACCCGGCGGCAGGCCCAAAGAGGAAATTCAGTCCTCCTCTTGTTGAACGACTCTTCAACGGTCAACGGGCGCTCTCCACCCTGCTCTCGACTAGCCCAGCCCCCGTACAATGTGCCAAGCACCCGCAGAGGTCCCGATCTCAAAATAACCAGGCCCGCGCAATATGAACATCAGTCAAAGTCCAAAGACAACGGGAGCCACGATTGCCTTCCCGGCATTCTCCGACCCGCCTCCAACTCTTGTTGGACCGCGTGTAGCTCCGTATATGTACCGTGTATCCTCGCTCGTCAGGGAGATCTCATAGATAACCATCTGTGTGTGTTCCTTGTCCGGCTATGGAAGCTTATCATTTGTATACGTGTTGGGGATATGACTTTGAGCTGAGGTTATCTCGTATAGCCGCGAGGCGTACGTGCTTCGGGCCTTCGTCCGATAGTGCTCGTTCTCCTTTCAATGACCTCAGGCTCCTTGTGCTATGAGATAGTAGACACGACACGTACACTGTATATTCTCCACGCATGCATAGCGCCCAACGTCGCGCTCATTGGGCTGTAGTGTAACTCCGATGAGCGGGGGTATCTGGATCCCGGTAGAGCGGTCTGGTCTCGGCTAAGCCAGCCTCTACTAGCCAGGGCACTAATTGAAGATAGGCGGGACCAATTTTTGTAATCGCACGGGTCCAAATTGTAGAGCGATCAGTGGTTTGCCGCGGCCGATTCGTGTTTTTTTACAATCTCACTCGTGCTCTTCCTCGTCCCCTCTCATCCTCAACCACCCTCCATTCCCAAAAATGGCTTTCCGTCAGTTCGGTACGTCCTGCCCCCTCCCACCCCCTCCTCATTCCACCCTCCCGCTCACCACCTCCGCGATAGCTCGCGCGCAGCCCACCTCGGCTCGCCAGGCTCTTGCCCCTCGGTCCGCGCTCGCTGTCCCTCGAGCGCCTCTCTTCCAGGCTGCTGCCTTCTCCTCTACTCCCAGGAGATTCGCTGCTCTCCCCCCCAAGCCTGAAGAGGCCGCCCTTCCCAAGGGCGCCGAGGTCGTTGCCCCCAAGGTGAGTTTCGGCCGTGATGGTAGTGTACGCGTCTGACATCGGTGGCTTGTCTTAGCCTTACGTGCTCACGCGCGGGCGAAGGTACTTGCAGAACTTTGGTCGAATCACCCTCGTCGCTGTTCTCGGTGCCGTTGGTGCCTTCACTTACGGTAAGCGCTTTTTCAGAGACCGCGTCGCCAACCTTTTATCTGACCATCGACGCAGTGACTCATGCCGCCAAGAACCCTGCCAACCAGCTTCCTGCCGACCCCAAGAAGAAGACTGTCGTCGTTCTTGGTTCCGGTTGGGGTGCCACTTCTTTCTTGAAGTCCCTCGACACCGACGAGTTCAACGTCGTCGTCATCTCTCCTCGAAACTACTTCCTGTTCACCCCTCTCTTGCCCTCTGTCACCGTCGGTACCTTGGAGAACAGGTCCATCATTCAGCCTACCAGGTACATCACCCGACACAAGAAAAGGCAGGTGTCTGTCTACGAGGCTGAGGCCCAGACTGTCGACCCCGAGAAGAAGACTGTCACTTTCGAGGGTAAGTGACTGACCACCTTTCGAGTAGCTGATTGCTGATGTGTAATGTAGACATCTCCGACATCAAGGGAAAGGCCGGTTCCGTCACCATTCCTTACGACTACCTCGTCTACGCTGTTGGATGTGAAAACCAGACTTTCGGTATCAAGGGTGTTCCCGAGCACGCTTGCTTCTTGAAGGAGCTTTCCGATGCCGACAAGATCAGGACCAAGCTCATGGACTGTATCGAGACTGCTGCCTTCAAGGACCAGCCCCAGGAGGAGGTAGACCGACTCATGCACATGGTCGTTGTCGGTGGTGGTCCCACTGGTGTCGAGTACGCCGGTGAACTCCACGACTTCTTGATTGCAAGTCTACCTTACCATCATCACCTACATGTCGCTGACAAAAATTGTGCAGGATGACCTTAAGAAGTGGTATCCCGAGGTTGCCGACAAGCTCAAGATTACCCTTATCGAGGCTCTCCCCAACGTGCTCCCCATGTTCTCCAAGCAGCTCATTGAGTTCACCGAGTCCAGCTTCAAGGACAACCGTATCGACGTCCTCACCCGAACCATGGTCAAGGACGTCAAGGCTCAGTCCGTCGTCGTCCAGGACGCCAACAAGGAGATCAAGGAGATCCCCTACGGTCTCCTCGTCTGGGCTACCGGTAACACCTCCAGGAACATCACACGAGACCTCATGGGCAAGCTTCCCCACACCCAGACCCAGCGAAGGGGTCTCCTCGTCGACGACAAGTTGTCTTTGCTTGGTGCCGACGGCGTGTACGCCCTTGGTGACTGTACCGCCACCGATTGCGCCCCCACTGCCCAGGTTGCCAGCCAGCAGGGTCTCTACCTCGCCAGCGTCTTCCAGAAGCTCGGCCAGGTCGCCAAGCTCGAGAGGGAGATCCTCGAGCTCAAGGCTTCCGGCGTCGCCGACCCTTCCACCATCGAGGCTGCTACCAAGAAGCTCATCAGGCACTCCAAGATCACCCCCTTCAAATACTCTCACCAGGGTTCTCTTGCCTACATTGGTTCCGAGAAGGCTATTGCCGACCTCCGAATCTTTGGCATGAAAATTGCTTCCGGTGGTAACGCTGCTTTCCTCTTCTGGCGATCTGCCTACGTTGTAAGTGCAGTTTGATTGTGGTTCATCGGTGGTTTATTGACGTTCCTGCTCAGTCTACTCTTTTCTCCGTCAGGAACAGGACCCTCGTCGTGGCCGACTGGTTGAAGGTCAAGGTCTTTGGCCGTGATGTCTCTCGAGAGTAAACGTCGCGTGGACGTGAAGAAGCATGATGATCCCATCAGAGAATGAGGTGAAGGCGGTTGGTAGCGTCAGGGGACACTGCATTAGACATGGCGTTTTGTTTCGGCTTTTTCTTTTCCCTGCTATTCGTAATCTTTCTTGCTGTAGATCTTCGACTTCAGGTTGTTTCGGAATATTTAAACTATAGCATAGACAAGGATGCGACACATGATATACATTAGATGATTGCATTTATAAGTCTAGTTTTGGTACATCAAGACATACACACACCACTCAAGCGGTCATCAACCCCAGCTCCTGTCCGATGAGCTCCAAACATCTCGTAGCCAGGTCTCTTGCAGTAACTTCTATCAATCCTTCGCCATCTCCTACATTGTCACTCCCATCTCCCTCACCCTCTCTTGTCTCGACCGCACCATCCTCCACCTCTGTGGATTGCTCAAACAGTCTCGCATGCTCTGACGGCAAAAGCCAAATAGATGGCGTATGGTCAACATTAGAAGAAAGCTCAAGGAGGGATGCGTAGAATTGGAAAAGATGGGCGCGAGAGGAGTCTTCGTAGACGAGTGCTAGCTTTGTAGCCACTATGCAGATCGTCAGCTTCAGTAATCCGTGATCGTTGAGGGCTGTACCATGAGCACTGTCTACGGCGCTGCCCTTCCACACCTTGGTAGTAGCCAAGTGTCGCAGGACGTATAGCAGCTCATCCCCCCTGGCCCTGCCGTCGCTGTTAGCACCATTCAATAATTCTGGGTCACATTGTACGCACCTCCCCAACGGTAGATTGCCTCTGATCTTTGTGTCTTCCAAGAATCGACGAATGGACACGTTGAAGCGGTTCAACAAAGATGGGAGAGTCAACTTGGCTATCCTCTGACGACCTTGTATATCTTGCTCCTTCTCGGCCCCTTGTACAGACAACGTCACCAGCAGGTCGAATGCCCAATATCGCAATTCTTCTTGCGTTGTCGGTAGCGCAGGAGCAGTCGTCCCACCACTGACTCGGACATCATACTGATACAGATGACTGGCTCTGCTGAGAACATCGGCGAAATGCGAGATGACTCTGTCCGGGACGAAAGAGTGTCCCAGACGAGGGATCACAATGTCCCGCATTCGGGTAAGGTGATCAACAACAAAGGTTTCATCATCAGATGCAACATCGCCAGAGCTGCCAGACATGAGCTTGTACCAGTGTATACCAATTGCACTTACGAGTCGGCCGAAAGCATGCCACCAAACACCTCCATGATCTGAGCCCACAATCTTTCCATTTTTTCGCTCTCGATGTCTTTTGCAAGGTCAGGATGATCACCCCAATCGGCATGTTAAGCACGCACCTTCAATGTCCAGTGTTGCTATGACCCATCCCAATATCGATGAGAAGGCAAGTGTTGCCTGTGTCAGGTCAGTGAGATTACTTAAGGCCAGGTGTAGACTCACACTCCGCCAAAGGGGCGGGTCATCGCCGAATCTATTGGCTGGTGGGCAATCATACTTTAGCTTGATTGGTATGGAGTACATCTTCATCATTCATGGTCAGCTCAATATAACCACTAGAAGAAAATGTAGAGACTTACGCCAATCACGCTCTCGACCGTCCCGTCATCATACAACTCCTTGTTCTTTGGAGACTCCTCAAATACGTCCTCGATCTTCCTCATTGACCACTTGGACAGAGCGACGTAAGTCAGTTTCGTTCCCGCGTCCCGCTGCCCTACAACTCCCACATACGCCAAAGCTGCAAAGTCGGCCAGGCTCGAAAGTACGAGATGTGGACCCAGCAGCTTCGAGTTGGCTATAATCTCGCATAAGCTAGTCTGCAAAGGCGACATGACATCGTTATCTGGACGCAGATCGGGGGACCGGATATATGTCATGATCGATCGAAGAATAGAAGCGAATTGGGTCAGGCGTTCGGTATCGTGAGGAGCGAGATCGTCGTGCAGCAGGGAGCCAACGCGTGTGAGGGCGATCAAGTTCTCTTGAGTATAAGGCTCGCCGTCTGTGAAGGTATTGCCCATATCCACAAAGGACAACCAAGACGCATCGACGATCTTTTGCATCGTGTCGCCAAGGGGTATGCGGCTGGCATCTGCGGCCATGAGGACCTTCTCCAACGCCTTGAGGCCGGCCGTACAACAAGCACGGGCCTGACTCGTGAAGGCATGTCTCACACGATCCAAAAATCGTTGAAATGCCTTATCAAACGAATCGAGATCGGCGATTAAAGTCAAGAAGGAGCCGAATACCGATCCCACAGAAGTCAAGGCGAGTACTTGCGTCTCTCCGCCTTCTGCTGCTTCGATTAGAGGAAAGATCACTTTCCAAAGTACATCTTGCCAAAGAGCCGAAGTCAAGCCTGACCCATAGATCTCTATACAGCGGAAGAGCGTCTGGATAGCGCTATTCCGCACATCCAGCCGACCATCGTGTCCAAGCGCCAGTAACTGCGTGAGGAGATATAACCACAGCTCTTTCGAGTCTCTTTGCACAGCATCAGACACATTCCACAAGAGACCAATCGCCGCAAGTGCAATATTGACGTCTTCCTTCTGGGCCCCAAAGTAACCCAGACTGACAATGCACTGCCGCAAGGAATCGTCGTCCAACGAGGAAAGGAAGTCGGTGCAGATGATAGTGAGGGAAGGGAAAGCGATGCGGACGAGGTTGGAATTTCCTTTGCTAGAGACTGTGGCTGGGCGTCGACTTTCAGAGGATGTATCGCCGGGCTGTTCCTCGTTGACTTTGTCGTCTCTGCAAACGCCATCCAACATGTCAAAGATCATTCCCCAACCGACTTGCAGGGAATGCCCCGAAGACTCCAACAAATGATTCAATGTTTGGTATCCGGACGACCGCACGTCAAAGTCGGTAGCCAAAGAGTTGCTGATAGGCTGTGCGTCAACCTGACGCACGAGAACATCAAATACCTGATGTTGGGTCCTCGACTCTTTGCCAACTCTGACCGCTGCCAGTAACAGCTCACCAAGAGTCTCGGACGCCTGCACTCTGATTGTAGATGGAGCAGTAGGATGTCTCGCTACAGCGAGAAGGTGCTGGGTAATAGCATCCCATCCCACAGCCGGCTCCTTCGTGACGATCCGTTTCAGATTCCGGGTTGACACGCTTTTCAGTTTGGTCAAGCTGAATGACCTTTCGACCGACTTGATCCCATGAGAAACGTTGATGCCACTTGTCCGACGCCTATTGTCTAGAGGAGGACTGAAAATGGCGGAAGACGAGGGCGTCGGTGGAAGAGACACTTCTGAGGCATTGTCGGGAAAGAAACTCGTCTGGGAAGTCTCCATACCAATCATTTCCGAGCTCAACTGACACAGAGCCGTCACGAATGTCGTGAACGCCTCATCCGGTAGATCCTTTGATGAGTCAAAGAGACCATTTATCAATTGCTGGATTGATTCAGGCTCGAGATCTTGCAGTATTGGAGGTTTCGGCTCCACGATCTCACCAACTCTCCCCAGCGTAGGTGGGGGAGCCTTTTTTGGAGAACCGCCCACGCCCCCATATCGCCTGGGAGCAGATTGTTTAGAGACAGACATCATGAAATTGGCGTTTTGCAGGATTTCCAAGACATCATGCCACGCCTTTCCCAGTGTCGGGCCCAAGACTCGCGCCGTGTTGATTGCGCTCCTCAGGCATGCCAAATTCCTGTCCGACAAGCTCGGTGGGCCAACAGGCGGCGCATTACCAGCAAGGGACGACGCGAACCCAAGAGCATCGGCTGCTATACCTCCTGCATTCCTTTGCCCAGGCGCCTCAATATACGTCTGCATTGCCGATACTGCAGGGGGCGGAACCGCATATTTGCCCAGCGTATTCAAGAAGGCATCTCTCGGTGTGCCAAGTTTGAGCCAGCCGCATGCGACTGTAAAGTCCTGTAGGGCCGTGAGGACCTCGGCAAAGAGCGTATCCGAGAGGTTAGTGCCGATAGAGTACGATAAGGCAGCGAGAAGAGCAGGCCAGGCGGAGGAGGCCATGCCTTGAAGGCAAGTTGGAGGAGGATCCTTGGAGGTGACGACAGTGTAGATGCCTTGTGCGATGGTATTGAGGGATTGGAACGCGAGAAGGTAGATGTAGGTCTCGGGAAATATGGGGGCGTCTGACTTGTCATGCTGCTCTATTCTATATGGACATCAGCTTGCGTCCAAAGGATCTAGGACAAGACTGACAGTTTCAACTTCATGCCGGAATGCTGTCCTAATCCTCCTCCACTGGGTCCCGCCATCATAGCGTTCATCGTCGACACTCCCGCGCTCGCCGCCGACCCCAACATCCCTAGACCCATGTCCAGATACCCACCATGTAGACTCGGGTTCGATCCGGAGGCATCAGCTTGCACACCTGTAGGGACACCAAGACCATGCATTTGGGATCCCATTCCGAGGAGGGCGGGTTTTTCGTTGATCAGGCGGCCGAGGGCATTGATGATTTTGGCGAAGAGGACTGAACCGCCGGCTTCGTCAAAGTGGGTATATGTGCTTTGAAGCAGGGCGTGATCGCCGCATATTCTATGTCATATCAGTGATATACCCAACAAATGACGAGATAGGGAACTTGCCCTCTCAAGATCTCCAACGCTAGAACCCGTAACCACGGCGGTGTGTTCTCCTTCACTTTATCATCCCCCTCGTGCTCTCCTGCACCAATCTTGATCAGCGAAGCAAGATAGATCTCTATCTCGCCCGGTAACTGGTCGATGAATGACCGGATTAGAAGAAAGATCAATCTGCACACTCGGAGTGCAATGGGAAATGTTGGCTTTTCGGAGAGGAGTCTAAGCAGAAGCGGGTGGAGTGAATGTTGAAGAAGGAACAAGAGTTCAGGGCGCTATACACTCGTCAGCTCCCATTACCGTCCAGCCTAAAAAGCGCACCTTTTTGACCCCACTCTCGTATCCGCTCAAGATACTCTCAATCAGCTCGAGAGCGAACGTCCTCTGCAGATTATGGAGCTTGAGGAGCTTTGGTTTCTCCGCATCCCCGCCTTTCCACAGCCCCCCAAAAGTTGACCCATGCGCCCCTGCCGAGGCCGCCAGTATACACAGGTCGGAGAAGATGCTATAAGCGTCCATAGCAGATGGTGTGACTTGGAGTGTTTGTGGTGGTTCTGAGGGGAGGGTAAGGGGTACAGTGGAGGGCGTTGGGGGCTCGGAGGGCGTCAAGCTCGGGGACAGGTGGGTCGAAGAGAGGCGGTCGAAGATGAGCATGACTGCTTGACGGAGGGTGGCGGCGGCTGTTGAAGAGACCACCGACACCCGGGAGTCTTGTAGTTTGAAACACAGTAGTAGTGTCTGGAAGACATGTCAGCTTATGAGAGGTTTGTGAAACGTGGTACTCACATTGCCGAGTACTTCGTCGTGAACATCCTTATTGAACGTCAAGATAGACAACAACGTTTGTAATATCTTGAGCTGAATGTCCACAGCTTGGTTGGCCACACTGCTCAATGTTCCCAAGACTTCTGGGAGTTTCAACTGTATATCTCATCAGATACTATTTCATGATTGTGACAATATGGCTTACTATTGGTACCCCTCCCAGAGCCACGAGCCTCTGCAGCGCAGCAATGCTGATACCGATGACCTTGGCAGTCTTGGTCTTGCACCCGAGGGTTACAGGGCTCAGCAACGTGTCGGCATTGTCTAGCAGAGTCAGCACTATGTCACTTGAGCTTCGTAGGGAGAGACTCACCTAGCAAAGTGTGTCGTGGTAAAGGCCCATCCTTGAGAACGACCAGCGCAGCTTCACTCGCCTTGACTTGTGATCAGCTCGAATCTTCACTTCCCCTTCTCAGCGACGTACATCCTTGACTTCGGGATTTCGCCGCTTGGTTTCTACTGCCAGAGCTTGAAGCTCTGAGATGAGAAGGTTATGGTCCTGTCATGGCAGTGAGTAAAGTCGGACATCATGTGGTGGAGGTCGGGACGTACCATATTTTGTCTATGAGCTTTTAGGGAACTCCATACAGCTCAGGATCTTTGACGAGCAGCCGATATCAGATTTCGTCGTCCTTACCAAGCTGATAGTTGGAGAAGGCTAAGCATCACACAGTCAGTGTTACCTGCATGCCGATCGAGGTCATCCGAGTGGACGCGTTGACCTGGCGTTTACCGTAGGCGGAGGCCGCCGAACGTAAAGCACGCATCCATTCGGACAGCCAAGTTTCGGAATGAGTTCAACGATATATCTACTTGAGCGACGTAGATCCTCCCTTTTTCCCTTCCTCACTCATTGCCACAGTAAATAGTCGAGACATCATGGGCGGCGCAAATCGTCAGTACCTCCTTATCACTGTGCCAAACAGTCGCTGACTTCTACCTCTTCATGTGTCTAGTGGAAATCTTCAAATTCGGATTCTATCTCTTCACGCCTATCTATGTCATGGTCAAATTTGCCGATCCTGATTGGTATGTCTGTTTTTATCTCTTTCGCAAGACATAAACTGATTCATCGGTTCAGGTATGCCGCCTATGTTGCGCCTGTAAGTACTCTTGTGCGATCGTAATCAGTGTTCGATTATGCTTTGGCGTCAGGTGAGATACAAAGAGGCGATCGACTGACGAAGAGCGACAGCTGAAAGAACAATTTTGGCCACCGTATGAGGAAACACACGTACGTCGCCCTATCCCATAACGACTCCCTTCGCTGACCTTATGCCTCTTCCACTTTCGTCTCATCAACTCCTTCCAACCGACTCCAATCTGTCTCTTAATCCCCATAGCAACCTCCCAAAACCCACGACGCTGTCCGTTCAGAATTAGACCGTATGAAGGCCGAAAGACTAGCCAACGCCAAGAGACGCCAGGTCGAGCAGGCCACCCTTGGAGAGGATGGCGTTGTTCCAGAGGGACAGGCCGGGGTAGAGGGCGGACGTGGGCAGGGTACAGGAACCAGATGGAAGGTCTCTGGTGGGGGTAGATTGGTCTAGATATTGCAGACCGAGCGACAGAGTATCGCACATATATTGCATGGGTAAAATCTAGTGCCACACTCATCTCATTTTGGTTCACGGCATGTATCTTGTACTCTATCACCCTGTGTGTACATGCATCTGCCTACGTCGGCATGGATGCCCATTGTTAGGCCCCAGACGGGACGAACTGGCAACAGGTGACGAAAACAAGCACCGAGAGTTGACCAAGGACCGCACGGCTAGGTATCTCGAATGAAGTGGTAAGTAGCTGCAGCATTGCAGGAGTCATCTTGATCTGCAAATTCAACGACTTGAGCGGTTCGGGGACGGAAACTGTTGCGTGCCCTTAGAGTGAGAGCGGTGATGTGGTGTAGTGATGATTGAACTTGATAATTGAACTTGATGATTCCCGGTCGACACCTTGCACCAAAATTGATCACGCGTCGAGCCCAAAAGATTGGCCATTCCAAAAAGTTTCTGCACCTGCGCACCTGCAACCTTGCAACCCGAACCAGACAATTCTTGGTAGTCATGCAATGTAGTCGATCGGCATGCTAGCGACCTAGATACACCAAATCCCAACACCCTCCGCAAATCCACCGAGTTGCTTAGAATCGCAACTTGGAGAAGACTGTGGCAATGTCAGCTTGCATTTGAGATCGACAAGACGATACACTTACACCACCTGTTCTGACCCTTCTGGTACCTCTCCTCAAGAGCCTTCTTGATGGCCTTCTTGGAGTCCTCCCTCTGGGTGGGCTCCTTGAAGGTCTCGGCGGTGACGGAGCCCTTGAGGGACTCGAGCTCGAGCTGGTATCGGGTGGGGAGGAGGTGGGCGTAGTTGATAACCTTGATAAAAGGCTTAACCTTGGATCGTCGCGCAATTCGCTTCTTGCCCATGTTCTTGGAGACCTTGAGGGGGTACCTGCGCCGGGCGTCAATTCTTCATCCTCGGCCAAAAAGCTGAAGCCACACACCTCTCAATACCGGCAACGACGGCGTGGGGGTAAGGTCGGTCCTTGGTTCCGTCATCCTGCTGCTTGATGACAACAACCTTCTTACCGGCCTGTCGGCCAGAAAGGACAACGGCAACTTTTCCGGGCTTGTAGACTGGAGCAAGGTTAGTAGTCTGTTCTTGATGTTGAAAGCGCTGTCTGCAGTCTGGGTGTCGGGGGAATGTTGTCGAGATTTCGCCCTCTCAAATCCTCCACGATATTCGCCTTTCTCCTATTCTCTTCTCGTTCTACGTCCCCTTGCCCGCATCGCTATCCCCTGCGCTCCACAATACTCGCTCCATCCATCCCAGATCCAGACCTGGCTTTGACTGTAGATTGTACTCACCTAAAGAGACCAGTTAGCATCAACCCCTTCGTGTATTCCGGGCAGCGACTCACTCTTGACCATCTGGATGAACGGGACAGACAGAACGCACTCGGTCAGCTATGCCCCAGAGTATGGCTGCTACTACTCACTGTGACTTGCCGGGTTTTTGCTTGAAGTGTGAGAGTCCTCTGAGAGACGGTCGAGCATGCAAAAAATCCCGACAGTTTCGTGAAGCGGGACTATCCACTGTGGCACTTTTGCTTCCGTCCTGTGAGCAATTTTAAATGAGCCCTAATCATGAGGGGCGGGACTCGCCGCCATCACTTACGTATGCACGGCGGCTTCGGGCGGAGTGGTGGAGGGAGTGGAGGCCGGGCTACGCGGTAGATACGAGATGGCGAGATGGGATAGATGATGCATCACCCTGGCTGCTCCCCGCCGTGACCATGCAAGGACGCCCCACCTAACATGTCGTCCTCCCCCAACCCCCTCAGGCCGCTGCAACACCCCCAGTACCACCGCGCAGACACACAGCCGCCCCCCTCTATCGCCTCCTCCGCTTCCTCCTCCCAGACCGCACCCAACACCGCCGCCAGGGCAGACCAGGTCCTCTACCGCTTCTACTTGAAGACCGTCGCTGTCCTCGTGGAGGCCCGCCTCACTCATTATGGGAGTCAGACGACCGATAAGAAGGACCGTTGGGTGAGTGATCGTTCACATTGATTGTCTCTGGCCGCGTCATGTCTGACCCATGCACAGTTCAATCTCATCCTTCCCGAGATCGACCTTCACAAGGCCGACTTACAAGTGTACCGGTCTATATCAACATACCAGCCGTTCACCCCTCCCGAGCTCCCATCGGCATCTGCAGACTCTTGCAGTATCCCGCCGCTCCTGATAGCGTTCATCCTCGATACAAGTGATGTTCCGCATGGACAAGCTCTACTATGGAACAGAAGTGGGGGCAAGGTCGCTCTCGATATTGGGTCGCAGTCTGCGAAAGGGAAAGGAAAGGAGAAGGAGGAGCGATTGGGCATCGTACTGGAGAGATGGACCGTACGCGCCGAGTGAGTGTGCTTTGCCGAACTGATGCAGGGCGCTATACTAACGCTCTACAGAACGATCGCGCAAGCCCCGTCCGCATCTCAAATAGCACCTCATACAGCGTACCGCCTGGGCATCATCCACTTTCGCGCCCTCCACTCTCTCGTCCGCCTCCTTCCCGCCTACCGACTATATCGACGCTTACGTCGGTCGAACACTGGGCTGCGTATGGGGATCAAACTTTGGGGCGCAGAGGGGTACGATAACTCCCCACAAGGGCTTAAAGAAGCCTGGCAAGTCATGGAGAGCGACCTGACCAGCCTAGACAATGGCCTGGAAGAGCTCGTCCTTGGGGGAGAAGAGGTCGATCCCGAGTTGGTCGAAAAGTACGACTTTCCCCGGATAGATCTCTTCGGCAATGGATATACTGTGCAAGCAGAGTATAGACCTGAAGTGGATTTCACGACGGGAGATTTGGAGGCGGTACTGAGTGAGAAATTCGTGGATATGGATGAGGACTGGTTTACGCCAACTGTGGCTGCAAGACGGCGCTCCGACAGCGCTGCTTCCTCTACTCCAGAGAACCCTCGTACTATTCGCAAGTCTAGTCTCCCCGCGCCTATACCCTCAAGTAATCCCACCACATCTCCGATACCTCAGAGACAGGCTGCCGCGACAGTGGGCAGCTTTGCGTCTGGTGGGTCGTACACTAGAAGTAGGCAAGTCTCTGCAGCGGCTACAGTACCGGCAAGCCAGAAGAAGGACAAGTGGAGTGCGCTCGGTGAAGGACTAGCATTTGCGGGAAGGTCACCGGCGGCTAGTCAAGTTGAGGGTCAAGTATGTCCTTCTTCCCTGTCTTGCCGCATTCGCTGATACAATGCAGGTGCCACCGTCACCTAATCCAGGTGGTATTGTAGCAGCCCGTCGTCTGTCTGGGCACTCCATTCAGCCCTTTGGCTCCTCTTCCCCCTCGGCGTCTCTTCTCCGCGGCACTCCTCCCCATCCCACTACCTCCGGCGGCGCCCCGATACCTACAACTTCCGCCCGTCCCTCTATAGCGACCGCTCGCCAATCGACCTCTGTAGGCCGCACATCCTCCTTTTTGTCCCAATCCGGCCGGTCATTCACACACGCGCAAGTTGCAAACATGTATTCTGGGTCGGCCTCACCGCCAGTGACGGGTGCAATGTCGGGCATCCATCAGCCGCCTTCGCCTACTGCTCACCAGGGGCTGTGGAAAGGGGATTCGCCAATATCGCCGTCGAGTTTGACCTTTGCAAAGCAGCCTGTGCCTCGACGGGTGTCCAATTCTCGAGCGGGCTTTACGCCAGGCTCGATGGGATCGCTGTTCGTACCGGGCTCAATCGAGAAAGATGGCAGCCTGTCCACATCCGCCAACGCTCCACACCTCATCAAACGCTACTCTTCCTCCATCTCCTCACGCCCTTCTTCTGTCAACCAGCGGACGGCACTTTCAGTCTCTCACGGTTCAGGTGACAGCCCTTCCGGCTCATATGGAGCAGGTGGAGGGCTGAGAAGGACCAATACGCGGGAAAGTGGGCTGAGGCATAGTGTTGAGCCAAAGAGGGAAGCGGCCATCAAAGCAGCAGATGCGGACGATATCCAGGCGTTCTTGCGCACGCTAGATAGTGCCCCTGCTCCTAGTTCAAGAAGTCAATTCGGGCTGCCTGGCGGATCGGCATACACCTCGATGGGATCATCTCATTCCCGTGGTGAGATTCCCACGTCACCTCTTGCAAGGTCACGCCGACAATCCCCATCGCAACTTCATACCAACGGTCAAGTACCCAAAACCCGTGCATGGGTTGACGAGGAACTCAAAAAATTTGCGGGGAGGTTTGATTCTCCTGGCGATCTCCCTATCAGTCCCGGTCTCAGTAAGAATCCAAGCCAGAGCGCGACAGCAATGAGCTCGGCAAGGGGATCGTTCTCCCAAGGGCCAGGGACGCCGGGATTGTTGAGTGCTAGCAGGCCGAGCAGTGCTGCGATCAAGATAGCTAGCGGGAGAGGTCAAGGAGAACGGGATGCCGAGTTGGTCTTTGGGAGCAGAAGGAGATCGTCTGGTGGGCCATCGCCCCTCTCTCAGGGTCTCGTGGCGCCTGGAAAGAGTCCCCTCGAAAGCCCGAGGCGGACTCTCGGCTCTGTGGAGGAGCATGGGGCCTTGAACAGACCAGCACTCAACAAGGAAGAAGTTCCTGGAGGTCAAGAGACCAGGAGCTTACCGGGTAGCTCTCCGGGGGTTATTACTGCTCGAGACCGGTCGTCAGATTCACCTCTCAGATCTGCTGCACCCTACGGCTATCCCTATCCCACGCCCTACCCGCCCGTATCCTCTCGGCCCTCAGACCTGTCCCCTCAGACCACGGGCAGTGCTTCCACCGACTCTTATACCACCGCCAGTCCGGCAGCTGGGGCCGGGAAGACTCAACGCCGTGGGCCGGTTCTACTCAAGGGCGGCTTCGGAGGTACATCAGCCAGTCACACGCCCAGCCATAGTCCAGTGAGAGATCGCTCAAGGGCCGGGATGCCTTCGAGCTCTGGGGGTGCTGGATTGGAAATCGTGTATGGGCATGGGAAGGAGGCAAGAGCGGGTTCTGTCCCTTTGGATAAAGAAGATAAAGTGGACATTGGCAGGAGAGGGAGCACCTCCATTGCCCAAGTTCACGCATACAATGCGGGTCTACCCTCCCCAGCCATCTCCGAACGACCAACATCGACTCTCGATGGTTTAGTGGGGCTCCGTTCGGCCAGCGGTTCGGGTAGAGCCCGTATAGTAGGACAGAGGACTGCACCAAGCTCTCTAGGCCGTGAAGACCATACTAGGCGAGGTGGGGCCGAGGCGAGGAGAGGACGAAGCGATGAGCAGAGTACAGAAGGACAGGGAGAAGACGAGGGAGCTGAGGGGATTGTGGGAGATATGAGTGGTCTGGGTTTTGACGAAGCTTAACATGTTAGATCAAGTAGAGCCATCTGTATCTTGTAGCATTGGTCAAGTTGTTTTATATAGAAAGAGAAGTGGTATGTCTAGTGGACGTCCATTGTCGCAGTGTGGCTGTGTAGTAGATATACATTCCGACTGGATATGAAGGACGTCTCTCATCTATCGTCATTCTTGTTCATACCTAACGCCTAATGACGCGCGAGTTGTAGAGCCACATGAACGTCGAGACTCTGCCAGTGTTCATACACTGGTACCTGGGACAACCAGCTCGTTGCCATGATGATCGAAAGTCTCCTAAAGAACCGCCGTTGTTATGGGTTATTCTGCCGCTACCAGGGTCAGCTTCGTAATTATCGCATAGACGTTTCAACCGCACGACCGCGAGCCGCAAAAGGCCACGCTGTCAGTCGTTGCCTCGATCAAGACATTTGACGACACAAACACTTGGAGACCATGTCCAGATGCTTCTTCCCCTGCAGTCCCGTTCTCAAAACAATGATCCAAACTTTCAAAGTGGCCTGGCGAGTGGCTACGGGTGCATCAAGTCCTTGGAACTTCTGCTCTTGATCTCTTGTACCAAAAGTAATTATTTGGGGCTCATCGGATCGAGGAGGAGGGGTTATTCGGCATAACAGCACCCCCCGGCACTCGTATCGTGGCGGATCTCTCTACACTCTTTTACAACAGTCTCCTGGCTCTGGAAGTCAAGCTATATTCCCGCCGCCGCTGGTCGGCAGCCGACTATCAACAACCACCACTCAAAGACCCATTCTCGAGGTCAAAACCTACGTGCAAAGAAGGGACGGGAAGAACAGGTCCAAGAAAGTAATGGACGTCCGGTTCCCGGAGCCTGGGGAGCTGTTTTGCTTCTCTGCAATCTCCGAATCGAGATGCCAGGGCTTAACAGGGGTACAATACGTCAGTGAGTGGTGATTTCTGTAACGACTGTCAGAATAGAGCTGATGATACCAGTGGCGTACATCCCCAGTGCTTTGGAGATCCTCCTCATACCAACCCTTTTGACGGTAGCGTACACTCGTCCACGGTCGTCAGTCAAGCTTCGTGGCCAGGCGAAGATGGCCGCTGACATGTCTGCAGCACTCTGATACTATTGTCGATCGAGGTCCTCCTGACAATTGCTCTCTCAACGTGGGATTTTGCGGTCCACATAGACGTGCCCAAAGCCCAAAACATCGCCGTCAACGACACCGCCCTAGCCATCATATCAGCCCTCCCGGAACTCTTCTTCCTCTTATTCTGCACGTCCCACATAATCACCGACCTTCGTCCTCTTCTGCCTTCCGTCCTGCGAGCCGACACCGCAACTCACGCTTTCGTACTCCTCATCGCGCCGCTGGTACCGATAGCGTTAGTCGTCGAGCTGCTGTCGACATTCTTGCTCTTGAACTATGCTCAGCAGCTGGAGACGACCCTCGTGGGCTTCGAAACCTCATCTGACTTGGGCCTCCATAACCTCTTGACCAGGATCGCTGCGGGCACCTCATTGGGGTTTATAGCCTTCACGATCCTGATAGGCATCCTCATCTTGACGAATAGCAAGACCCGATACAGTCTCAAAATCAACAACATCACTCGATGGGGTGAGCGTGCTATTCTGTTCGGATTGCTCATCGCTGCTGTCGATATTGGCCTTTCTTTGATACCCGTTGTGTACCCACTCGTCGTCGCCAGACACGCCATCCAATTCGTCTCGAGAATCTTCATAGCATTCGGGCTGCTGGGAATCTACCGCTATGAGAAGGGAGGCTGGGGTGAGATTGGAGACAGCCATACAGCGTTCACCGACGATAAGAGACGTCCCGCATCTATCGCTTCTGTCTCCACTTTCGGCACACCTCCCATCTACCCTATTCCTACTGGTCAGAGACCCGGCATGTACGTCTTACCTGGTGGTACGGGATCCCCCACAAAACCGCAAACTGGGACGTACGTTTTGCCTGGTGTTTCCTTTGCCGCTCGGAGAAAGGCGTCTCAGAAACGAAAAGGCAACAAATCACGAGGAGCTCCTTCAAAACTCGTGATTGGAGGTCCAATTCCGGGGACGTTCCAGAGACTTGCTGGCGGCGAAACAAGAGACTTTTACATGCTGAATAGTGCCAAGTTTGGAGGAATGGCGGGAGCCCAAGCGGGTGGCATTGGGAGAGGTTTGGCAGCTGCCGGAACCACAGGAATGATGGGGGCTGTCTCGAGATTAGGCATGGAGCGAGTGACTTTGAGAACAGTGAGTACTGTGTTCCAAGCATCACGAAGTAGACTGACAAGCCAAAAGCCTGCTGGGAGAGGGCCAATGCTTTCAATCGTTTCCTCTACGTTCTCGGCGCTTGAGCCCATGACTCGAACTCGCTCGGAGCAACCGGCCATTGAGCCTGGACCCGGGACCGCCATTTCCTCCACAGCACTCACTGTCAAAAAGTTTACGGGTTCCATCTACGCCCCTTCTGCCATCTCTGTCGAAGCCAGCGAGCTCCACCGATGGCCGCCCGAAGGTTTGGCGAGGCTGAAGGGTCTGGAAGAAGAAAAGGAGCGAGTCTTTGGGGGCAGTGACATGGAGGAGAAGGAGATTGAGGGTGTTGGGACAGGAGTGCTCAGAGCAAGTAGGATGGCGAGCGAGATGGACATGGTAGAGAAGGCCTGGATGGCCGGAGACCTTGCCCGCGCAAGCCCCGCACTGGATGATCGCGATATCCAGCTTCGGCAGACGGCCCGCTTTCTCACCTCCGAGTCACTCACGCCCACCGGACAAGTCGATTCCCCTGCCCCCATTGCTCGACAGCTCCCCGCCGCGGGGCTGATACAAGAGCCACTGATGCCGGTCAAGCCGTACTTCACGTCCAAGAACCCCAGGGCATCTGTAAGGGCTTCGGTGTTTTCTGGGCATACACGCAATGGGTCCGGTGGAAGTGGGACATCGCTGTTGGCGAACGAGGCAGTCCGAATGCCTCAGCCTGCCATGGTGACGGAGAGGGAGGAAGTGCAGCAGCTGGCCATGCGTCCCCGGCCACCCATACCTCTGGCGATGAGACAGCCATCGATACCACAACGCCAGATCTCAGACCCACTAAAAGCTATTGGCGCCAACGCTCGGGGAAACTCCTCTTCGCCCACTTTGGGCGAGACTTCACCTACATTGGGCACTTGGGAGAAGAATCGACGGACATTCGCGTCGTCCATTTCAGCCTACTCCAGTCGGTCAGCAGCGTCACCCCCAGCCGAAGCAGACTTCAATCTCTTCTATGCCGCGCCCACCGAAACGCCCGACAACAGCCCTCCTAGAGATAGTGCTCTGGCGACCGCAGCCGCAGCCACCGAGATTGTCAATTCAGACATGTCCCAGTACCAAAAATATTCGCAAACCCTCCGAGGGTCGCAGGTGAAGAGCGTGATGCGGTTACAAAAGGAGGCCGGGCTGGACGAGTTTGATTATGATAGACTGGAGGAAAGCGATAGCGAAGATAGGCAGGACAAAGAGTGGCGCATGAGCCTGAATTCGTTAGACAGTGAGGATCTGACCCCGAGAGCAGAGGCGCCGAGTTTTGCAGCTTCGCAGAGCAAAGGGAGGAGACCAGAAAGAGAGGGCGGTAACATGATCTAAGTTAGATGTATCATTAGACTGTACTGAATGACTAGGCGTATGGGCGTATCGAATTAGAAAGTAGTCAGCCAAATGGGATCATGAAAATTCATACTCATCGTTCAAGTCGTATCGCTGAGACCCGTCACTTGCCTCGCTCTCGTCTCGCTCAGAGCCCATGTCATCGCCACTGTCTGACTGCGGGCCATCATTCGCCGCAGGGTGGTCGATCTGGTCACATGAGTTGACATTCCTGTAGCATGACCACTGCGCTTACCATTCTGAGAAACTCTTTGGCAACTTCCTCCTTCTCATCAATCTCTAGAGACTTGGCGAACCAACCTTTCGCTCGGCCCATGAGTGAGAAGTCTGCATGATCCCATCCGAGGGGGGCATGTGGAGGCGAAGGTGACCGAGAAGATCTTGGAGAAGAAGAAGGCGAGGGCGACCCATCTCCTCCGGGTACGATCAAGTGTTGCTGTGATCGACTCGGGGAACGTTGTCGGACGTGCGAGGCCGGCTGGGCAAGGTAGAAGGCGAGCAACCCAGCATAAGTGTGCAGAGATGCAGAGAGAAGATAGGGGTAAGAGGGCAAATATCTATGAACGGTCAGAGTTGTGATAACAAGCAAAAGGACATACTGACGTCTCGAGCTCCTCCAAAGCTTGACGATACCGGCCTTCTTTTATATAATAGATGATGAGGGCGTGCAGCAGTGACGGTTTCTGCTCAAAGTGAGCACTTGGCCAAAACCTATCGCTCTATACAAACCTCTTCGTTCCGGACAGTGACTCTCAAAGTGTTGATCCACCTCTCCACATGCCTCACTTGATCTGCCTGGGACGCGAGACCCGGCGCGTCGGTATCCTGGCTCGACAGAAACAGCAGACCCCATTCCCATTTCGTCCGCCAGTTGACTTCCCTGCATCTGATCTACTGCCATGCATCAGCCATGTACGTTGAGCGAGGCGTACAAACGAACCAGGATTGCCCAAGCCCTTCTCGCCCTCTCCCGGTCCCCGCGAAGGAGGCATGCTTGTAAGCAGTAAGCAAGGGACTGGATGTATGCATGGCGTAGTGATCCAGCGTCGTCTACGGGGAGGGCATTGGTGGGCATATGCTGCTGATGGTGAGTAAGAAGACTGATATGCGGAACAACAACAATTAGGGCGCCACGCTGGCGGCGTTTCACGGGGAATTAAAATTGACGCTCTCCTTGTAATGAACAATGCAGCGCGGCGGTCAGCCTTTCTCATCGCCCTCGGGTATAAAACAGCTCTCCAAAACCACTACCCACGCCCTCGCTTTGTCTGCAACCAGCTAGACGAAGCACTCAAAAGA